GAAAGGGGGGGGGGGTATCAAAAATTCCGAAAAAGTTACAAAATTTCTTAAAAAATTGCGCTTACCGTTGTAAGATGAAAGAATGTAGCTGCTTCGTTTGGAGGGCGCAATCCCTGGGAAATCTTGGTTCCTGAACCAAGGCCAAACTCCCCACAATCCACCGTCATTCTGTCACGACCAAAAATGATTAGATTAGAGTAATTTTTTTTCCAGAATGGCTCTCAGGAGAAGATACAGAAGATCAGATCGAATGTTATGTCTCTCGTCACTAATCGTCACTGGTATCTGCTCATGTAGCCATGTAATAAAAATCGTTGCATTCTGCCACATATTATTTAAGTGCTGTGAGTTTAGGTAAATGAAACAACAAAAACATTTTTTTGTTACGTTTTGTGAGACATAAAAAAGAACCGGTATTTTTAAATGTCCTACAGAAATTTCAGCAATTTCATGAAATATTTTACGTGAAATTTCAAGATCTTATTTTTCCAGCCTATGTCTCAAAAAAAGGTTCAAATCAAACCAGGTAACCTTTTTTGAGACCATCAAACTCGGATCATCTGGCCGGGAATCGAACCCGGGACCTCCCGATCATTGAGGAAGCGGTACAACTACTAAACCACAGGAGGCCGTATTGTCACCCAGGGTGGCAAAAAATAATCTAAATAAAATCTTGAGGGAAAAATCAAAATGAAATCCCTATGGTGGAAAAACAGAATCTTGAAATTTCACGTGAAATATTTCATAACATTTCAGAAATTTATGACAGATCTTGAAAAATACCGGTTCCTTTTCATGTTTTGCAAAACGTATTATATTTTTGTGAATTTCTTCTGTTTATGTGTGTTTGAGTGCGGGTTGCATACTCTATCTCCTGGAAAATACGATATATTTCACAGCCTCGTGAAATTTCATGAAATATTTCTCTGGAATTTCTAATCTTTTATTTCTTTCTTACGTTTCATTCCACCCTGATGTCGACCGACACATAAATTAGCAAATGGGTGGTTTTTATACGAGGATTAAAAATAAACAAGTGGTCCGGAATATAACAAAAGAATATGAACTATGCAAAACGATAATCCGGGTATCGGAACTTGGCTGTTTTTGAAAACGCCTTCAAATGCGGCGTGATACCTCACGCATTCTTGAGAGTTCAAATAGTTGTATCATTGCGCCGTAAGAATGTGACGGAAGATTAAAATGGAAATAGCCTCCATGAACGCTGGGCTTGTCGATTTCCTTCGACATTTTTGCAGTCGTGAATGCATAGCTGAATTGCGCTCCAGCTAGAATTATTGCATTTTGCAAAAAGGAGCCAGGAGCACTGCAATATTGCTATGATTGTGCAGCTTCTTTTTTCTTGGAAGAAAACCCTGATTATCCATCAACAGTTCCTCTTTACCCGATAAAAACTGTAAATTTAGGACAAAAATTACCATGTAAATTTTATATTTTTTCAGGATTTCAATAGTTATATTGCAATTGATGAAGTTGCACAATCGTAGCAACATTGCAATGCTCCTGGTTCCTTTTTGCAAAATGCAATCCACATGAGAAACTCTAAGAACCAAAATGTTCAAATGTTCAATGTTCACTAACCACAGCGAGGAAGGTATCCTCCCTCTTGTGTACGGGCGACTGCTCGTCGGTCTCGCCGGAGCGGCCGATGCGGGGGACGGACTTGACGCCGATGAGGAAGGGGTCGCTGTTCTTCTTGCCGATCCTGGGGATGGCCTTGGAGGCCTTGAGGAACTCGGTGTTGCGCCGCCCGACCCGCGGGACGTTCTTCGAGGCCTTGATGAAGAAGTCGTCGCCGCGGCGCCCGCGCCCGATCCGCGGCACCGACTTGGACGCCTTCAGGAAGAAGTCGTCGCTCCGCCGCAACCGCTCTCCCACCTCCGCCTCCACCGAGATCTCCCGTTTGTCCTTCGTCTCGCTCAGCGTCGATAGGTCGTCCCCTTTCACCGGTCGAGGCTCCGCTAGCACGCTCCCGAAAATCGTGAACCCTGAAAATATCCACCAAATGCACTCGTTTAGGGCCGCTTCTACCACTTGCATCCACATTAGCACTCGGAGAAAAAAAACTCGTGCGTGAGACCCGAAGTTTAGGTCATATGGATCTCTGAAATGTTCAGATTGAGCATCTGAACACTTCAGTTCTAGCTGCCGAAGTTCGGATCATACATCTGAAACTTCAGTTCTTACATCTGAAGTACTTCAGATGTGAGAACCGAAGTACTTCAGATGTGAGAACCGAAGTTCTTCGGATGTGAGAACCGAAGTACTTCAGATTTAAGAACTGAAGTTTCAGATGTATGATCCGAACTTCGGCAGCTAGAACTGAAGTGTTCAGATGCTCAATCTGAAAACTTCAGAGATCCATATGACCTAAACTTCGGGTCCCACGCACGAGTTTTTTTCTCCGTGCAGATCCAGCAAATTGGCAACATTGTTTTTCTTCACGTAAAATTATGAAAATGCATCGATTCTTTGAGGGCCCAGATGCTCCGACAAGAATCGATTATTTAACATAAGTTTAAAAGGGGAGAATACGGTGTTGCCAAATTACTGGATCCGCCTCTGTGCAGCATGCTGGCTGAATATTGAAATTAATAGACAAAGCGATGGACAAAAAAGACGTAGGGAGTATGGAGCGATCGTATTGGTTGAAAAGGGTGGTTCCCATAGACTACAGGAGGTAAATGATGGACTAATTGTAGGGTCTTTCATGGGTTGCCGTTAGGTGGTCTATTACTTGGCTCCTATGTCATTTGCAATCAGCAGCTTCCACCAGCAGGAACACTTCATCCCTTTTGTCTTATTTGTCTATCGCTTTGTCTATCAATTTCATCAATTAGCGGACTGACTGTTGAAATTTTGTGTTTGTAGACCGGATAAGACGACATTAAGGGGAATGGAGTTATGTGAAGGTGTCTTTTTCATCTAATGACGCACAAATTAACCCCACAAAACTTATGTCGAGGAATCCTTGAAAATAGCTTAGCTAAAATGAACACAGCTGGGCTATAATACACATCATTCCAATAGTTTTGATTTCTATTAATCCAGAAAGGTTTCAGGACATTTTGTCAACGATGTTTTGTCCGCGCACCTTTTTGAGCTCGCCCACTCGGGAGAGCTCTTTGCGATCGATTTCTTTTAGCATTGGTAGTGTCCGTGGCGACGAATGGATGGTTCTCGTTGCCGTCGGAGGAACGGCCAAAATCCCATTGATTTCAAGGTCTAAAAGTTGAATTTTCGCGGGTTACAGTTTTCCTCCGTCGAACATTTCCGTTCCCTCATTCAACTGAGGATTAATTGTTCCTCGTTTGCTACACTAGAGAGCAGCACTTCCCAGTGGCCGAGCATATCATAGCATGTTGCTATGGTTTTATATCAAATAACCTAATTGTATGTTATCATCCTCTTATCTTTTCAATGCAGTTTTTGTGTGCAGTTGTACTTGCAATTGTTATTATTTCTTAAAATAAAAAACATGGTGACCTCGACGTGATTTAATAATTTGTTCAATTAATTTTAAGTTACTAAGACTAAGATTGAGATTTGCGCATAATTAATGGATAATCCTTAAGATTGCCGTTATTGGTACCATAGAAGGTTAATTAACCTCAAAATAATCGCATGCTTGAGAGCTCGGTTGAGACTCGCATTGGGATCCTTTCAGAGTTTGTTTAAACCTCATATTAAGAATGCTTTAGGATTCGTTTGAGCCCCTCGCATCAAGAATGCTTGGGAATTCGTTTGAGCCTCGCATTTAGAATGCTTGAGAATTCGTTTGAGCCTCGCATTGAGTTTCTTTAGAGTTCGTTTTAACCTTAAAATACAGATGCATGAAGTGCTCTTTCGAGCTCCGTGCTATTTATAGTGCGCGAGGTGCTCCATTGAGCCACCCCATACCTACAAAGGCGTGATGTGCTCCATTGAGCCACTCGCATACAAAGGCTTGAAGTGGTCTCTCGAGCTCCACGCTAAAATTCAAGTGAATTCCTTTTCAGCTCTTAGTGTATACCATAAGTATTGTGTAAGAATTATGGCAGAAACGTTCCTCCAAACCGTGCTAAATTATAGTTTCTTTGAACTCTGTGCCGATAAAAATTCAGAATTCCAGACTGCCAGCTTAACAAAGTATAACCTTAATTCAAGTTGGCGACTTCATTTAAAAAAAAAAATTAAAATTAAATCATATGATTTCATTACATTGTTGACAATTTAAGAAAAAGCTTATCAACGATGAAAGCCAGAAACAAAAATGCGATGGCAAAAATAGCCATTGCAACATTTGCCGCAAAATCACATTCATAAAAGATAATTCCATTTCTCTCTCTTTATTTCTCTTTATTTATTGTAATGTGAAAAATTTGTCATATGAAATTACGTCATAACATTTTGCATCGGCATGTAACCTCTGATAATTGGGTAAAGATTCATTTAATACATATACAATTTCAGAAAAAATCATTAATAGTTGTTAATAGTTTCCCAAAGGCGAGCTCTCCAACACAGTAGTGTTGGAACCAGCAGCTTGTTTATCATTGGTTTATGCCCACACGTAAAATAAGCAACAGTGACTTGGTCCAAGCGTTATATTTTAGTCGGTGTGTAAAATTATATTGACAATATGGAAATGAGAAATTGAGAGAGAAAGAGGTGTTGTTATGGTTGCTCATTTTCTAAATGAAATGTTATAACTTTCCCCTTTTGAATCATCTTTTTAAATTGTCATTAGTGAATATTTGGTTTTATTTCTATCTCATTTATTAACAAAATCTTGTTACATTAGTCATAAGATTAGCTGCAAGCTTAAATTAACAATTATGTAATTAATGCCCCGCAAGGGGCAGTGGTACAATTTTAATTTAATAAAAAAAAAAAAAAAATTCTATCCTTAAAATATTCGATGTATAATATACCTTACATATCGACGGTGAAAATCGGCAATCACATAACTCGGTTTGCGACGTCGCAGACTTCCTGTCATACTTTATTTTTTAAATGGAAAACTACTCAACGACAATTCTTTAAAACTGTCATGATTTTTCTTCTCAATGCGAAGAAAATTCTGCAAAAACTTCAAGAAATAATATCAATTTGTTCTCCTTTAAAAAAATGACGTAGAGGCGGAGATTTTCAGACACCGCAAACGAGTTATGTGATTGCCGACTTTCACCGTCGATATGTATAGCTACTTTTTTTTATTTTTTTCATTTTTTCTTTACGAAATTATTACTTCATTTTGAAAACATATATATTTTTAAAACGTGGCAAATATTTGTAAAACCTTTTCTAAGCGACATTAATCTCAATGAGCCGCAGTTGTGCCAACAGAAACTGCAAAAATGAATAAAAGAGGAAAAAAAACCAAGAAGCACGCAATCTTTAGTTTTAACCCATTTTTACATTGATCCTTTAGAGTCGAATACGTCAAATTTTGAGCGTTTGGTTGCGCGTACACCTCGCTGTAGCACAATAAAAGCACAACATGTAAAAGAAAAAATTAAAAGTGCTTTGGAAATCATTAAATTTGACACGGAACCACCAATATTTAAAAAAAGCACACATTATATTATTATTCTCCTTTGATAAATTGATACATATTTTTCCCCCATCAATTTAAATGAGAATATTCAATGCAGAGAGTGCAAACATTTCAAAATCATGAGTCAAAAACGCTGACTATGCGAGTATAAATACCTATTAAAGCCTAACAGAGCGGAGCGGCGTGCTACCAGCGCGAGAGACTCACTGGCGCCTACAAACCTAAGTGGATACTTCAAGCATTGTGCAATGCGTGCACTGGCGCCTACAAACCTAAGTGGATACTTCAAGCATTATGTAATGCGTGCACTGGCGGCTACAAACCTAAGTGGATACTTCACGCATTGCACAATGCTTGAAGTATCCACTTAGGTTTGTAGGCGCCAATGCGCGTTTCCTGCTGGCCGCCCGTCCGCCGTGCGGCGGCGCCTGAAGCAACTATTTCACAACAGAGATGTTGCACAGTACTATACGAAATTGAACGTATTAAGAATTACAAGCATCCTTTAAAAGTACAGATCTTTCCTCGCAAAATAAATCAAGATACTTATCGTACACAGGAAAAATCTAAGAGCCTTTAGCTGAGGCAAATATAGAGGTTTATCCGGTTCAGGTATAACAGGGTTGGAATTTCTTGAAAGATAATTAAGTCCTGTTACACCGAAGAGGTGTAGAGAGTTTCAGTGAATTTTGTCTCATGGAATTGACGCTCCCCCATTTTTACCAAAACCCTCAACTATATATTATTCTCCGTTGGACCAAACAGACAAAACAAAAAAAAAAAAAAAAAAAAAAANAAAAAAAAAAAAAAAAAAAAAAAAAAAAAAAAAAAAAAAAAAAAAAAAAAAAAACCAAGCAAACCCTTATTCTTCCAAGACATTATACATTTTCATCCAAAAACGTCGTGAGCAATGGTCGTTTTTATTTACATGTGGGCCAATTAACTTCGGGTCTCAACTGGCACGTGGACCGAAACTCCTGTGCCGAAAAAACGCGTGGACGTAAATTACTGGAAAAAACAGGTGCGCGGACAAAAAATCGTTGTCAAAATGTCCTATAACCTCCAGATGAAGGAGAAGAATAGTTATTTAGATCTAACTAGTTTATAAAAATATTAATACGTGAAATTAAAGATAACTTCGAATCGCAGTTTTTGGATTATTAATATCTGTAGTTCAACGAAACAAAGTATTTTGAGGATTGGATTTTTAACTGAAATTACTTACTCAAAAGTGAACAATCAATCCTCTAGAAATTGTAGTAAAAAATTAATTTGTAATGTCACTCGGGAGTAGAAGTAAATACGAATTATATCAATAATATTAAAACTTATCACGATATTACATATCAGTCTTAATTCAATCAAAACGAAGTGTTAAACAATTAACCGACAGGTTACTTCAGAATAAATAAATTACATACTTCTAAAGTCCAAAAATCGAGTAATTGAACAAATTGATGAATGAATTTCTGAAATTATATTATTGCGTCAGAATGGAATCGTGGTAATTTCTTCTTCGGAATAAACAGCAAAGAAAACATCGATTCCGCTGTCAAAACAATTGAATGAATCCTTCATCTTACGATAGCGTCACCTTCCGGCAAAAGTATCACAAGCGCCATGCGAAGTTTCGAAATTTCCACCGCCATTTTTATTTTTTTTACAGAGAAATTGAGGCTGAATTTGTTTGAAAATTTCACTGAATTTTATGGGCAGCACAAAGAAAATTCAGTAAAATTTTCCGACAGATTCAACCAAAAATTTCTCCGTAAAAAAAATAAAATGGAGGCGGAAATTTTGAAACTTCGCATGGCGCTTGTGATACTTTGGCCGGAAGGTAACGATATTCTGAAACAGGTTTATGATTTTTATGATTATTTTCTTGATTTCACAAAAACGGACGATACGCACCTATCATGAGAACGAACGGTCGATGATGAGATAGCTTCATTTTTCTATCAGAGTGGACGAGCACTTGAAAAACACAACGAACTGTTCTTTTTGAACTACCTGCACTTTCGTTTTATATTCGCATCGGCACCAGCTGCTTAGTGTGTCACCTAATTACATCCCGCTGGTTTTTGCTGTTCCCTTTCCTGCGGGCCGATTATCGAATCTTAATCGAAAGATCTTGATCGATAAATAGCATTGCCAAGATAGGGTTCTATCTATCGATCGATCTATTCGATAACGATTCAACAATCGACCCGCTGTCAGAGTCTCTGCGTTTACGCATACCTCGGTTTATTCACCTCTTCATCGCAAATTTCTGCTCCCATATCACCTATCATAGCGTTGTAATCTGCCGTGCGAAGGAAAAATGTCGTATGAACCTTCAGACGTTGCTGAATTTTCTTTGAAAAACACTAATTTCCTAATAAACTTAAGAATATTTTCCTTCAAAATTTTCAGGTAATTTCGTTTGCAATTTCACCTAAAGATCTTGAAAATTTCAAGGAAAAGTATCCATAACTTGCCTAAAAAATGAACATTTTATCGAAGGAAATTTGGCAACTCTTGAATGTTTATACGGCGTTTTTCTTTTGCACGGCAGTATTTGTTGCTAATTTTAGTAATCATGGAGGCAAACGACGCTCTTAGAACAATCCGAGTAGCACAGTGCAACGAAAACATTGAAAAAATTTGTCAAGTTATGCAACTGAATTGCGATTTTCTTGGCATAAAATTATGATATGGATCGCATTTAGTAAAAAGGAACCAGCGCAATTACAGTGTTTTCAATGCGCAGCTTCTCCTTTTCTTTTAAAAGTACTTACTACATGTACAGTGTTAGAACCTACACAATTATTTTCCTTTAAAATTAACGATTGTTGGTGGGGAGTCAAGAGTCAAGACTATTTGCTATTCTGGGAGATTTCTTGGATAATTATGAAGAAGCAACCTTTTTACAGCACTGTAATTCTGCCGTGCTAAGGAAAAACGCCGTATTAGCATTCAGGCGTTGCCATATTTCATTCAATATCAAACAAATTTACCCAAAAGTTCGGTATATTTTTCCTCCTATTTTTAGACAATTTCTTTCCCAATTGAATCTAAATTATCTGAAAATCTCAAGAAGAAATATGCCTATAACTTTCTTCAAATATGCATATTTTATTCCGTTCTTCCTTAGCACGGCAGAATTGTACTGGTTCCTTCTTGCAAAATGCTATCGGTTGCTTACATTTAGCGTTACAATGCGTATGTATACAGGGTGATCCAAAAGTCCCTTCCACCCCCTCTAACTGTTTACCTAATTGAGGTAAAGATTTGAAACTTGGGGGATATTCCTAGGTCAAAGGGAGCTACTTTTTGGCCCCCCTAAAATTTTCAGGGGGCCCCCTTGGGGGAGGCAACGGCCCCCAACTTTTAATTTTCAAATGGGAAGACCCCCTTTGTGATAGTTCGTTCGAAAGAGCATAAAAAAAGAAAACTTTTCGCGCAAACCCGAAGTCAATATCTCAAACCGTTTCAAAATGGCGGCCGGTTAAAGTTCAAAATGGCCGAAAATTCACACCGGTTATTTGTCGATGGATTTGCGCGAAAATCGGTATGCAGGGGTATTTTGACACGAGAAAAACGAATTTGACGATAGATTTTCAAAAAAACCGAAATTTCCAAAATGGCCGCTGGTTAAAGTTTTTTTTTTAAAATTTCGGTTTTTTTGAAAATCTATCGTCAAATTCGTTTTTCTCGTGTCAAAATACCCCTGCATACCGATTTTCGCGCAAATCCATCGACAAATAACCGGTGTGAATTTTCGGCCATTTTGAACTTTAACCGGCCGCCATTTTGGAACGGTTTGAGATATTGACTTCGGGTTTGCGCGAAAAGTTTTCTTTTTTTATGCTCTTTTGAACGAGCTATCACAAAGGGGGTCTTCCCCTTTGAAAATTAAAAGTTGGGGGTCGTTGCCCCCCCAAGGGGAGCCCCCCTGAAAATTTTAGGGGGGCCAAAAAGTAGCTCCCTTTGACCTAGGAATATCCCCCAAGTTTCAAATCTTTACCTCAATTAGGTAAAAAGTTAGAGGGGGTGGAAGGGACTTTTGGATCACCCTGTATAGTAGAACTCAGTTACCACGGAGACATATCTGGTTGAAGCTTAACTAGCTTTAACACTATCCATATTTTTGCATTGGTTTGTCAAAAACTGCCGATTTTAAACCATGAATGTATTGAGTGCCATGTGTGAGAGAGGTGGACAATGTGCAATGTATAAAATTGCCTGTAGTGTAGTGATTAGAACATATATTATAAGAGGCTCATGATCACATGAGAAAAAAATCAAATTTATTGACAACTTGAGGCATATCGGCTATCACCTCAAGGGTCTCTTAATGTATGTATGGGTAAGATAGGTGATTGTCATAATAAAAAAGAGACTGCTTCATTTAATTTGTTAATTACTCATAAAAGTCTTAGTCGAATCAGTTTTAGTATTAATATCATTAACAGTGTAGCGCAGCGGTGAGAAATTGTCATTGCGATTAAAAATTTCAAAAACCAACTGAGAGATTTTGTAAGTATTATCGACTTAACTGAATATTCTACGCAGCTCAGGCTGTGACAATTCTTCGTACTGTAAGTAATTACTGGGCAATTGTTTATGCTCTCTTTTTCTTTATTTTAGACACGAAAACAATTGTTTGGGGGTATTCTTTAAAATTGTGGTGCCATCTCAATTTCTTGGATAGTATGAACTTTTTCGATTAATTGTGGTAGTAAGCTGCAACTGGGCAAATCTAGTTGGGGTAATACCGGGGTAGTACTCTAGTTGGTTTAGTAACCTAAACATATTGAGGTACTATCACAATTAATTGGAAATATTCATATCATCCAACAACGCCGTGCTCTTTTTTCCGTGGACCGTTGTAATGAATTCTTTAATAATTTTATCACAATGATAAAGCTTCCACGTTGGGAAAAAAGAAAAGTAAAAAAACTCTACCCCTCCTCCGAAGAAGAGCAGTAGGCACCCACAGTTTTTGGCAGGAAAGACGAAGCAAGCTCGACAGGATAATTATAATCAAGATCAGAATAAAACCAGCCCATCACCCAAGTGGCAGAGATTGCAACAACCTGCAACGAAATCGTTTGATTCTTGCAACTAATAGATTGACGTGCAAAGTGTCTACTCTTTCCCCCGAAGGAGCTCCCGTTGGGAGGGGTTGCAATTATGCTTCAACTTCAAAGTGTTGTTGGTTGCCTCTCTTTCAATTTTATGGAGTGCAAGAAATTTGCACATTTTGGTACAGAGTCGAAAGAAGTTCCAACTATGCTTGCCAGTGTTGCTAAGATTCATAGTAAAAGCGCGAACTTTTAAGATTTCTACTAACGCTAGAGAATTTCGAAAAATTTGGCACGCCGTTAAAAATTCACATTTTTTAGCACTTTAGCAACGTTGGTAAAATCAAGATTTTATGAGTTTTGCCGCGTTGATGTAAAAATCCGGACTTTTCGAGAATTTGATAACATTGGTAAAAACTCACTATTTTCCATAATTTGGGCACCATTGGTAAAACTTTAAAAATTTCCGTCTTCGACAACTTTAAAAATCTTCATTGTTTCCGAGAATTCTGAAAATTTTGAGAAGTTGCATATCGATGGTGAAACTGCAGGAATGCGTATATCGGTTTGCGGCGTTGCAGACTTCCTGGCATACTTTATTTTTCATATGAAAAACCACTTAACATCATTTATTGAGCATTTCGGATATTTTTCTTCTCTATGGGAAGAATATTTTGTGAAAATTTCAAGCCACAATGTTGCTTCGGTTTCCTTTTAAAAAATAAAATAGGAGCGGAGATTTTCAAACACCGCAACCGATATACGCACTTTTGCAGTTTCACCATCGATATCCGGACTTTTGAGAGTTTTGGTGACGTCCGTAAAATTCGAAACTTTCACGTTTGAAAATCAGCCTTTTTTGAGAATTTTGGCAAAGTTGTGGTAAAATTCGCGAAATTTGACAATGTAGATGAAACTTTTTAAATCTCTAAACATCCTGGCAAAGTCGAAAAGTTGCAAGATTCATGTTTATGCAATTCAGTTGCTGTAAGTTGCAACTTTTCTTCCGATCAGATCGCCAAAAATTGGCACTTATCGACCAAAAATTGCAACTTGGTTGCAACTTAGTTTCGAATTTTAACCAATATTGTTTCAACCTCTTGCAATTTTTACATTAAAAAATGCTACTTGGGCAGTCACCAGTGTTACCAGAGTCGTGCGAAAAGAAGAATTCATTTATTTTTTAAAAAAAAAAAATTAATTTATCGTAAGAAAATCCTAATAATAAAAAGCCACTTTCAAAGGTTCAGCTACATTACACGCACTTCTGAAAAAGCCGATCAACTTTCAGATAGTGGGATGGACAGACACGTAGCCCGGGAGGAGCCTTTCGTATATGAGCTCAAAAGCTCCCCCTCCCCCACCCATGCAAGATTAAAAATCGAGGAGTGAATTTCAATGTCAGAGTCCGTGTAGCGCCCAAAAACCGCGACTGATATGAATTCGGAGTAAAATTCGCACCGTAAAAGTGTATGCCACGCAAAATGAGTACACATGGATACCCCAATTTCGCTCAGTAGTGTAGGTCAGTCTGAAAGGAGAACATAGTTTCTGCACCGCATTCATATACAACTCTGAGTTTTTGGGCACCATATAGGCTCCGGCACAGAATTTCACTCCAAAATTTCGCAAAGAGCAAAAACGAACAGAGGGGGGTAAATTTTGACAGCTATTATAAAAACATCGGACGATATTCAAGAAGTGACCGTACTACCGTACTTCAGTAATTTTTTACCATCATCCTATTTTTAAACTTCTTAATTTTTTTTATTTTTCAATAAGTTTTTTCATTTTTATTTTTTAATGTATTTTTTATTTAATGTATTGTTCCAGACAAAATGCACATCTGACCATGGATTTCCAGGGTAAAGTAGTTCTCGTGACAGGTGCGAGTGGTGGAATCGGTACAGGAATTGCTAAACTGTTCGCTACGCGAGGCGCAACGCTTGCTCTTACTGGTAGGGATCTCACAAATTTGGAAAAAGTTGCAGCAGAGTGTAAAAGGCTCAGTGGAAGAGCCCCATTTGTTTTCAAGGCAGACTTGACGAAGGATTCCGAGTGTAAGAACTTGATAGAGTCAGTTTTGGCTCAATTCAAACGTCTGGATGTGCTCGTTAATAATGCAGGAATCGCAGTGATGGGGTCCATGGAAAGTACATCCATGGAACAATATGACGAAGTTTTTATCATGAATGTAAGATCCGTTTTTCTTCTAACGAAGCTAAGCCACGCCCAATCTCCTTGCGACCAAAGGATCGATAGTTAACGTTTCCAGTCAAAGTGGTCTACGATCTTATCCAGGTATTATAGCTTATTGCATGTCAAAATCAGCCATTGACCAATTTACACGCTGTCTAGCGTTAGAGCTTGCATCTAGAGGTGTGCGAGTAAATTCGGTAAATCCAGGCAATGTAATGACGCAGCTCCTAAAGCGAGCTGGACTGGTGGATACAAAGCAATTTTTTGAAGGGTCAAAAAAGACACATCCCCTCGGACGTCCTGGCACCGCGGAGGAAATTGCAAGGGCAGTTGCTTTTCTCGCAAGTGAAGAGGCTAGTTTTACAACCGGTGCTACTTTTCCCGTGGATGGAGGCAGGAGTGTTTTTGGCATTTCTAACGCCCGAAAACTTGCCTAAAAAACATAAGCTCAATGTTGCACGCATCGATTATGATGGAAATACTCTAGATGTTTGCATTAGATTATCATGCACTGTTACAGATTTATTTTTAGAGTTGTAGCTATCACATTTAGACATTTTTTTACATTATTTTCCTCTGTGCAATAAGGAAATCTGAAGGGAACAAAATAACTTAGGAATATAGTAAAATTCAACCATTCCAAGCCCAGTCTCTTTAAATTTGAAATTCTACCCACCAGGTTCGAGGAACACAGAAAAAAATGAAGAAAAGTGAAGGAATGAAAATTAAAACCAAGTGCCGTCGTCAAAAATTAAAAAAAGAAGAATTGAGAGATCGAAATTTCTGAGATAAATTTCTAAAATCGCTAAAATTCCTATCATCTTGACGAGTAGATGTATCGTCTGTGGAGTGTCACGTAGGAACAGTCGGGGGAAGCGTTCGACCAATTTTAAATGATAGATGGCCTCTGCAAATCATAATTATCTGCCCATTTTTAATCATATCCGTTATATTATTTAATATCCCATGATTTTATTACGACACAATCAAAACTGCATCATCCCTACCTATGGACCTAACCGAAAGTTAACCCTCTCAACACACAATTTGCTACAAGGACTCAGTTCCCGTCTTTACTTCACAAAAATTGTCTTGATAAGTTTTTGGACTCAATGCTCGTCTTATGTCGACAAATATCTATGCAACTTAGGATTTTTACGCTGTGCTCTCTTTGATTTTTTAAAATAAAACTATCCCTCATTAAAGGGAGAATGCAGTCCAACTTGGACGCAATACTAATGGATACTCCCCCATTTAAAGCCGTGATAAAGAATCGATTATTAAGGTGTTCGTTGTGAACATCTTGTTTATCGATCATTTTCCATAGGTTTAAATGGCAGATCAATCAATACATCATAAAGCAAGCCACGACACTTGAGTAGACTGCTTTATGAAGACTTTCAGCGTCTGCAGAAATGTCTGAATTCTCTAGGTGGTTCAAGGGCTAACTTCGAAGAGAAAAAAATTGACCCAGATACGAAGCAGATAGCCCAGCAAAGGTTATTCGATTATTTTGGGAGAAATTTATCTAATCATATAAGTACTTTCGATTTATCTCAAGGTTTGATACTTCAAACGTGTTAATATGTTGCAGAAACTTGAAAAAGTTGGTAAGCTAATCCCAGTTCCAAAACTCAAGTGTTTGCATTGCTTTAATATTTTGACACCAGACACGAAATTCTTCATTTTCAACCAACTTTTTGTTCTCAGACAGCCAATGTACCATTATATCATGTTTTTATGAGTTTTCAATTAAAAAACGTGCTGAATTTAAGATATCTTTCAATTAAGATATCTTTTCCTCGTAGTTTTTGTCGAATCCTTTTGTTTCGTCATTAAATTGGGTCCACTAGCATTTCGACGGTGAAACTGCCAAACCATACATCTCGGTTTGCGACGTTGCAGACTTCCTGCCTTACTTCATTCATAATTGAAAATCTACTTAACATTAATTCTTGAAAACTTCCTTGATTTTTCTCCTCTAATTGAAGAAAACACTGTGTAAATTTCAAGGAATGATCATTGATTTGTTCTCCTTCAAAAAAATAAAATGTTAGAGGATATTTTTAAACACCGCTAACAAGATACGTGGCCTACTAGTTTCACCGAAAATGCCGAAATGTTTAGAAATGCCGCAGGAGCGATAAAATATGTGTGTTTTTCGAATAGTCAACCACTCTGTTGTGTTTGTTGCCTATACGCTGAAATTGAAGGCGAGATTCAAGTCGATTAGAAGTTCACTCTACTTGAAGCATGACCGTCGAAACCAACCAGTGTGATAACCGATTGTTAATCCACTCATGACTCCCTCACTCATCATTTTTCGACTATGACGAAAGAAATAAAAGAGTGTGAAAGCGTGGAAGAGGTTTGTTGTACAGCCAGTACACGAGGGATACTTACAGCTAAAAAAAATTGGGGTCTCGGCTATTTACAATGAAAGAGACAAGTATTAAGCTTTCAGCCGAGTTTCTCTTAAAAATAAGAAAACTCAGTTCATACTTAAAAACACAGCTTGCACAATATTTTTAAGCATGGCCAGAGTTTAATATTTTTTTAAGAGAAAATTGGTTAAAAGCTCAATATTTGTTTTTTCCTTATAGCGAAGAAATAAATCTGTTTCATAGACAGCCACTATGGAGTGCATTATTGACATTTTTGGTTCGCTATACATAGTTTTTGTTCGTGTTTTACACAAATGAAGTTTACTCCCTAAACTGTGTTTTCGTGTGTAACAGAAAGCAGACCATTTAATTTTCAAAAGTCTACAAGCAAATTTGATTAAAAATTTTCATCAGAACTCGGAAACTGTCGCGTCGTGGGGGAGAATAAATATTGTGAAATTAATTTTAGTTTACCTGATTTGTGACACTGTGATACTATTGGATAGTGGGAACTCGAATTATTCTCTATATATCTGTTATCAAAGTTGCGTTATAAGTACTCTTTACCATTTTGCATATCACCATGACAGGGTAGGTATGATGAAACCGACCTTCCCGCAGTCTCAATACTTATTCTCAAGTCTGCGGTAATTTCATGGGCCGCGCATTCACTTGGAATGCACTGTGCCCAAATTTGCGTCGGCGCATCAACTTTGACATTTCCCCATGCAAATATTTTTTATGTTCACTCAACAAAAGATTTTAAAAATAAAATAAATACATGAATAAGTCAATTGAAACGCTGATTATTTAAAGGATTGCGCATGACGCAAGAGTAGAGCAGGTTGTCTAATTTGATATCGGTAGTAATTTCTCTGTTTTTGAATTCTTTGGAAATAATCGTCCCCCATACATCCTCTTTGCCAAAAACCAAAGGAGATAAAGCAAATAATAAGTCACAAATGCACTTTTAGAAAAAATTACCTTTTATTTCCCTTGTANGCGGAACGACCTTTTTCGGATCCGGGTCTCGCGGCCGTCACGGCTAGTTATCGCCCTTCGATGAAAACAATGGATCAGGCGGCGAAGAAGGACTCAAGAATGCTCAAAGTAGTCACCAAGTACAGAAAAATCGTCTTCTTCAGAGCTTCTTGGACTTTTCAGAAGCCTCCAAGAAGCCTCCAAGACGCAGATTAAGAAGCAAAATGTTACCAGGGTTACAAAATATACAGAGTCCTTAATAAAGCTCTAATTTTTTAAAGCAATCCCTGCGTTAAATTACGAAACGGTAGAATATTAATTAATGAACGAGCTACGGAAAATAAATAGGAAATGATTTGAATGGAACGAAGCGAATTGCAATTTATCAATATTTAAATGCTTGTAATTCAAATGACTATTCTTCCGATGCACATATCAATGATTTAAAAAACGACATCAAGTTGATTGTAACAATTTCCAATAGAGGCCTCCGACGTTTAAGGAGATAAGTATTATTTTTGAAAAAATGAGGCGTTAGTGATTTTAAACGAACCTTTTTTGAAGGAATATTCTGGAAAATCTGACTTTGAATACTGCACTTTCAGCCCTGTAATCTTAGTTCAAACATTTTAGGCATGAACAAGAGGACTCTACGCCGAAAAAAAGAGGACAGTCGTCATAATCAGTTGCTGATTGTAACAACTTTCCTATTTTCTCCGAGTGTTTTAACTTTAAAGTCGTTTCAAATGTTAAATGTTACTGATCTTTAAAATGTTAGTTACCCCCTTCATTCCTCAGCAGCCTTTCATATTTACAAAGAACACAAAAATGGTGGTCCTGAAGATTGTTCAAAGAGACATCTGATTTTCTCATTGTTTCATTTAAGATAAACAGCTCGTAATTTGAAATGTTCAGTGATTCGCGGGAGAGGATAGAAAAAATACCCACCTAAAGCCCAGGGACGAATCAAAGTCTTTTGAAAAAAAAAAAAAAAATTGTGATGAGGGAAAGAAAAATATAAATTAAATTACGCCCGTCTGTTGATATTGACGATAATCATTATGCAGCATATAATCTTCACAATAAAAGGGGGACTCATTTTATCGTGAGCTAAAGGCCAAGGAAATTTTTGTCATGTAACAGCTGAAAATTAGTTAGACGTATGACCTATTCCATGTGAGTTTTTCATGAAATTGTAAAAAGCTTGGAAATATAGCAAGATCCAATTGTTTCGTAAAAAATTGTATCGTACCTGGATTTTATCAAATTTTTAAAAAATAAATCAGCCAAACGTGAAACCGGCCTTGTCAATAATCCGAGACTTACTTCTAACGATTCCAGAACATTTCTCGTTACTCATGATCAACTGTGAAGCTTATCAGACAAAAATACAAGATACATTTATTTTTTAATTTCCTAAAAAGTTTGAAAATTAGCACGATTTTTAGCGTCGAAATAATGTTTAACAGTCACCTGGAGCCTTTGCATTCTTAAAATTATGATCGAACAGGTACAAATCACTTTTTGTCATCTAGGTTTGAACTTATAGCAGGTCCAACCTCCTCAGGGACGGCTTCGTAGGTGAAAAGGAATCCTTTGCTAGACCGACTGTTGTCTGAAGTAAATTCAACCCTTAAGGATTCATAGTCGGATATAACGTCGCTGGGAATCTGAAAAATTAAGAATTCGTCAAGCATTTGAGAAAAAGAGATATATATTACGATTTTTGAAATTCAGAATTATCTTCTTAGGACCTTTTCAATCTTATTACAACCCGCATACAATAATCCGCGTCATTCATCACCAAGAACGTCAAGAGGAACATTGATTAATTGATTTTTTTTCTTCGGAACAGAGAAGTCATAAAGGTTCCTTGTCAAAAATCTAATTTGCCAATTTCTGCCAACTTTGTGGAAATCGTATCTCCTGAAAATGACGCTTTTTGATAGGTGAGATTCCTTGTTCGATTCCTTGCCATGCGACGTTTCAGAATTTCCGCCGCCATTTTATTTTTTTACAGAGAAATTACTCAGGAAGCTGTCTGTAAATGTCACTGAATTTTATCGGCTGCAAAAAGAAAATTCAGTGAAATATTCGGGCAGCTTCGTTGAACAATTTTTCGGGGAAAAAATAAGATGGCGTTGGAAATTTTTAAACGTCGCTTGACGCTTGTGATACATTGGCCGGAAGGTGACGATGTAACGCTTGAGGCGCGAATGGAGGGGGGGGGGACAACTTAGCGGCCAAGGGAGCTCAATCCCCTAGTTTTATATAAATTGTATCACTTACAGCGTTAAATCGGTTTCTATTAGACGGGCGTAAGTCCAAAAACGCATGAGCCCTGGCCACCATCGATCTTGCAAGAAGCCAGGGTTCATTAGTTTTTGGACTCACGCCCTTCTAACAGAAACCGACTCAATTATCGATCCGATATTCAAGCGGTCAGCAAAAGCTGGATTCAATATCTCTCTCGTGAAAGGGACATTTTTAACTCGTGAAATACTTGGAGAAGTCTCACCTCATTGCCGCAAAATTTGCCAATTTGAGTAGGCATAGCGCCAACACCGTTATATATGTCTAAACTGTCGTATTCGCAGTCAGGGGACGGCTCTACCATGAAAAATGTGAAATTTAACCGAATTTTGTTATCGGTGTAAGCGCTCTCGATTATCCAGGTGCATCTGTAGTTATTTTTGTAGTTACTAATGCCGAATCTCGGATGCGAGTACAATTGTCTCGGTGTTCTCGTTGCCTCCAGATGACCACCGCACACTGTGAATACAAGAATGAGAGAGAGGATATAATAGTATTGATTGCTTAGGGCGTATGTTGCTTTTAATTTGAAGATTGGTTATAATCACAAGTAGTCAAACGTATGCGTTTTCCTAGAAGCTGCTTTCTGGCTCATTTTATAGACAATATACGGACCGCGTCAAACAAAAAGGAACCAAGCCTCATCAGCAATTGCCAAATTTAATTGAGCAATTTAAATTTTAACATGAAAACGATTGCGCGGATTTTTGTGCAAATTTCAGTGAAAAATCTTCATAGTTTGAAGCAAATTTCTTAAAAATTTCTAAGGAATCCCCACAAACGTTCTCTCGTAAATTTAATCGCCCAAATAAGTTTGGCAATATCTGATGTGGCTTGGTTCCTTTCTGTTAAACTCGGTCCATATGTGCCGTATCCAGAGATAGTTGTTATACTTATTACAACATTTGGTCCAGTTGATTAATCTTTTGCCATCCGTGCTGGTTGGGACAGGGATCTCAAATAGGACTGGTTGAATTCAAAAATCTTAAGAAAAGATGATGGAATCCTTACATTAGGTACGGACGCATCAAACTATTTTTGGTTTTATACCATCATTATGAAATTTGTATGATCACAGGAACTTGTATTTGTTAAATACTTTTAAAATAATCCAAAGTAGCTCAGTGCAATGAAAATATTGAAATAATGGTTACCTCAACGCAATAAAATGGCAATTTTTGTTACCATGAAAGTACAATATTTTTACACCATTCGGTTCACGAATTTCGATTTCAAGCAATCCAAAAATAATTTTCGTGTGCAAGAAAGGTCGGAAATTTTCAATGCAATTTATTTCAATTTTATCGCCATTAATTGTATAAAAGGATCCCCTCCAATTAAGATTAGATAACAAACAGAACACCTCGATACACCAGCAATGATCTTCCTGTTTACTTGCAATTTATTACAATCAGTGCTACCTGCATAAGACTGCTGTTACCCGTGTATACTCACGTGCTTTGAAATTGAAAAACGTAGAACTTGTACTGAAAAATGCACCTACCTGCAGAATAGTATGCGACAAATCCTTGTTTTTGGGTCGTACTGTCAGATTGAAATGTAATGTACATCTGATTTTGGGAGGTAATTATTGATGTTGGAATGATATCACCGCAATAACTTCCCAGAAGCGTATCAAATGTAGAGTTACCATCGTAAACCATTAGCCTGTCATACAGGCAGTTTTCATGTGTCTCCAGATTGAAAATTTTGAATACCTAGAGGAGAGAAAATTATTAAATCGTCGTATCTCTGTCGCAGGCAAATAGTGAAATCAGGCATTTTGTCAAATGCCTAGGCAGATAGTTAAATTTGAACGGTCTACAAAATTTGGTGAATTCATGGCAAAGAGCTCACGAGTTTTTACTATTTTTGGAAACATAACTAATCAAATACCTGCGAGCTCTTTTTGGCTCTTCCTCTTCAATCGCTTCTCATATTTTTAAATGTTGAAATTCTAAAAATTCTGTATTTTATGACATGTTGAAAATTTCCATGTAAGTGTCTGTTGAGGAGTTAAAAACCGTTCAAAATACTATTGTATGATGCAAATTTTTATTGAGAATTTTTTCTTGCATGAGCAATGAATTAGTTTGTCTAAAATAGGAAAAGAATCAGAATTTCAATCTGAGTTAGAATATTTGACTAATTGCCTAGGTATTTGACAAAATGCCTAATTTTACTATTTGCCTGTGACACCTTTACTTCAAAGCTGCAAAATTTACGTCAACGAATCACCCCTCTATACGAAAATGACTGCTCAGTTCCAGTCTCATTTTCCTGGTTCTTGGCAGAAATCCTTCGAAAAATCAGATAGATATTTGAGAGAGGATGCCTATTAGTCTCTTGTCTAATACTATTTCCGAGTAGAAATTTTGCAGCGTTGACATGGAGTTACGTTTTTTCGCCTAAGAAACGATGAGATGCGAGTAAAAGCACTTATCATAATATCAGGAGAGCAGATCTAACAGTAAAACTGAGGGATATCTTGTCGATTGTCATCTCGGAGTCCGATATCTTAAACGTGATGCCATATAATTAAATAATCGGCGCTCGCTTAATTCCTTGTCTTTGTTTTCTGCATTTCATGTTTTTCTATTTTTCACTTGTGGCTTGAAAATCGCCCACGATTTATAATTAACTGCGATATGCACAAGCAGTAAAAGAACCAGAATTTCAAACAAAGTAAGACTATTTGATATTTTCGCATGACATTTGACAACACTGAAAAAAAAGCTCCGGCCGTGGGAGCCGCAATTAGGGGCTATATAGACATACCGTCCGTTCCGGGCTTAAAGGCCGAAAATTCTGGCTGCTGGAGCCGTAGCTTTGGCCTCTGAACCCCGGAGCAATCGAAGCTACGCCTCCAGTAGCCGGAATTTTCGGCCTTTGAGCCCAGAACGGACGGTATGTCTATATAGCCCGTAATTGCGGCTCCCACGGCCGGAGTTTTTTTTCAGTGAAATTAAATGTCTAATTTATCTGTTGGCTACGATATCATCACACATAATAATTGCACTACAACAAAATTCAGCTGGCACCGAATTCCCTCGGGGACTCGTGCAGGGTCCTTTCGCCTTAAGGGATTAAGGTCTACGTTTAGAAGAAAGGAATCAAGCCACATCAGTTATTATTGCCAACTGTGAATGGGCAATTTAATTTTTTACATGAAAATGGTTCTGCGGATTTGTGTGCATATTTCAGTGAATTTTTTGCATAGTGCAAAGCAAATTCCTCGACATTTTCAAAGGAATTCGCACAAACGTTCTCTTTTAAAATGTTAAATTTCCCTGTTAAATTTGGCGATAGCTGATGCGACTTAGTTTCTTTTCTGCTAAATGCGGTCCACTTCCCAAGTAGCACAGGTTGCAATAATTAGCCATTACATTGTAAGAATATTGCAATTCTACTGAGTGTTGTGTATGTTGCCTAGCTCCTATTTGAAGGGGCCCATTTATTGAAACTTATTGCAATAAAGTTGAAATAAGTTACAATTTTTCATTGCATTGCAGATTGCCTAGCATTCTATCTCATTTTGTTGATTGTTGAAAATTGACGAAAATCGACTAAAAGATATAAAATTTTTGCAATTTATTGGTAAACAAAAATTATTATTTTATTGAAATCAAATTGCAATTTATTTTCAATATTTTCGTTACACTGTGCTACTTGGGTTTTTCTGTGGACGATCAAATTTGTAAAATCTCTAACCCAAGTAGCAAAGTGCAACGAAAATGTTCAAATTAAATTGCAATTTTATTTCAATATAATTGTAATTTTTTTACCATTAAATTGCAATATTTTTACATCATTTAGTCGATTTATGCCAATATTAAACAATCACTAAAATGGGCCTCGTGTGTAAGAAAGATAAGGAATATGCAATGCAATGAAAAATTGCAACTTATATGAATTTTATTGCAATGAGTTTCAATAAATGGGGCCCCTTCAAATAAGAGATAGGCAACATACACAACACTCAGTTGAATTGTAATATTTTTAATATGTAACTGCTACTTATTGCAATCTGCGCCACTTAGGAAGAATGCAAATACATCTATATAAATCTCACTGACCAGTTTGAGACGATGCCCGGGAGCCGTTCGGATACTCCAGGCGCAATCCGAGAAAGGCGGGTAGTTCTCCGGGAAGGCTGGACTGGAGATCTTGCCCACGGGTTTGACCAGCTCGTGATAGCAACCCTCCGGCTTACACCCGTATCCGTTCGCCAGGAGAGAGAATCCAGAGCGGCACTTGCAATAAAAAGAGCCTAACGTGTTGACGCAGATATGCTGGCAGCCACCATTACGTATTTCACACTCGTCCATGTCTGGAAAAATTATATTCAAAATGTGTGACGATCTGTATATAGACCGAGTTAGAATAATGAGAATTTCTAGCTAAATGCTTACATGGACCGCGTTAAGCAAAAAGGAACCAAGCCACATCAGCGATGCCAAGTTTAATACGGTAATTTAATTTTTTACATGTAAACGGTTGCGCGGATTTTTGTGCAAAATTCACTGAATTTTCCATATAGTTCGAAGCAAATTCCATAAAATTTTCAAAAGAATTAATACAAACATTCTCTTGAAAAAACTAAATTGCCCCGTTAAATTTGGCAATAGCTGATGTGGCTTGGTTCCTTTCTGCTGTCCATTTTTCCTGATTTCATCGCATATACCGGAGTTAATAGACTCAGGTCGCCGTTGTAATACAGATGGAAATAAAGGAAACAAAACACAAGAAAATAGGAAAGCAGGGCTAAAAACAAACAGAATGTATGGATATTTCTAGTGTCCTAGTATCTAGTCATATTCCTAGTGTCATTAATTTTCACTTTGTCATTTATCGACGGTATACTTTGTAGTTGGCGCAACTGATTACTGACCAAAACTGCCATGTTAAGGAAAAACGCCGTATGAACATTCGAGAGGTGCCAAGTGTCTCCGGATAAAGCATGTATTTTGAGGAAAATGATGCTCATTTTGTCTTGAAATTTCCCGATCTTTTAGATTAAATTGCGAACAAAATTGCCTGAAAAATTCAAAGAAAAATTATGAAATTTTTCCCAGTAAATTTGTTTTTTTATCGAAGGGAATTCGGCAACACCTGAAGGCTATACGGCGTTATTTCTTAGCCCGGTAGAAAAGGTCTCCGGTTCGTATTCCGGCCGGGGTGACAAAAGTTGATGGTCTCATGATCTTCCCATTTTGAAGAGGTATAAATATGATCGTTCTTTACTGTCGTATATTTTTCTTCTTCCTCTTCCTCTCCTTCTTTTTCTCTCTTCAATTTGACCCCCGTCGGAGAGAGACGCGCTTAAACTAGTTAGAAAATAAGAAAATAAAAATAAAAACCTTTACGGTCTCCGTTAAAATGGACAAATGAGGGGCTTGGAGGACGAGGCTCGTAAGTGGAATTTTTGAAAAAATCGAGGCGTTAATGATTTCAAGTAAAACCGGTCTGAATGCATATTCTGCGAAAAATTTGCTTCCAAATTCTAATTTTTAAGCACTAAAAAGTCAGTTTGAACTTTCTCTCCACCATAGGGATCCATCAGTGGTGTGGCGTGAATTGCGATGTATCGATTGTTCTGCCCTTTCAACCTATGGTTAGAGTCCCTTTATACCCAGAGTTAAGACAACTCGATTATCAGCTGACTGGCAGCCGGCCTTGGCTGGCCATGGAGGCCGAAACGAGTGCACCCAAACGAACGATATTGAGGGATAAGGATCAGGAACCCTGCGATGTCTGTCAAACAAATCCAACAACATCAACAAATTGATCAATTAAAAAGAAAATGAGATTGGTTTGTGAATAATTTCTTAATCTATTTTCATTTTGGACCGATGGAAATAACAATTTACTCTTGATGAACCACAATTAGGTAATATTTTCATTATTCTTGTTCACATTCGAGGTACCGCCATCTTGGTGCACTCGTTTCGGCCACCATGAGCGAGAACCAATCAGAATTGGATTTTTTTAGGCCACTTTCAGCCCAACCAAAAGTGAGTTGTCTCAACTCTGTGTATAAAGGGACTCTACATATGGTAAAGAATAAATTATTAAGGTGTTCGCTGCAAACACCCTGTTTATCGATCCTTTTCCATTGGTTTAAATGGTATAACAATCGATACATCGCAATTCACGCCACGCCACTGGGATCCATGCAATTTTGAAACTTCAAACACGTATTTCTCGAAATAGCAAATACTGAATTTATACGCCTTGTCCTCCAAGCTCTTCAAATGTGACTGGCGCTAACCTACTATGAATTTGATCCTGAATCCGGTGCGCGCCTCCGTCTCGTCGGACGTGAAATGGACGCGGAGGACGTTGTTGACGGACTGGATGGGGCCCGGGAGCTTGGTGCCGCAGAAGGCGCCGTGGCGCCGGAAGGAGTTGTCGCCGAGGACGCTGATCACCTCGAGCTTGTCGTAGCTGCACTGTTCCGAGTGGGCCGCGTCGCCCTCCAGGTCGAAGCGCAAGAACTTGAGGAACACCTTGTGGTACATCGGCGCCGTTATCTCCCAAATACAGGACTCCCGGTTCGGGTACTTTCGGGGGTACTCTGGGCTGTAGATTATACCGTTCGTTTCGTTTATCAGCCCGCCGCAGTTCTCCTCTGTGGAAATGCGAGGAGTGAGACAACACAGTCATTTAGTAAAGTCCATTGAGATGAGCTCTCCGTGTGAATTTGATGAAAAAATCAAGTTCTATCCCTAGCCCCCCAAAATTTTAGCGTACCCCAAAATCGTTTGACGTGCATAAGAAGACCACAGAAGAGGACTTATCTGTAACAATAGCGGATGTGAAAAATTGCCTCTTCGAAACACGCTTAAAAAACCGTTTTGTTCACACAATAATTTAATATGTTTGGCTCTGGTATAATGTACAGATATCGAAGATCACATCTCGAGTACTTTCTCAAAATTTTCTCGATGCCAAAACAGTTTTTTGAATGTGTTTCGAAGAGGTAATTTTTCACATCAGCTATTGTTACAGATAAGTCCTCAGATATGGTTGTCCATGTAAATTTTAAATGACTTTGAACGAATAGATTTTTAGATATGACTGTTCACGGATTTGGGGACGTCGGACGGACGGACACATTTTTTTTCAAATTTGTTTTTTTTTACTCCAGGCACCTTCAGACTCCAAGACTCACCCTTCTACCCTTCTCAAAACTTTAGTGTTGAGAATCTGCAGGATTTTCGTTCGCTCATTTTTTAACAAGAAGGTCAACTTTGGACGGCAACTTAAAAACGCAAATCTTCATATTCCAACCTCGTAAGTCTTTGCTTGTATTTTATATATTTATATATTTTTTCGTAAAGAAATCTAACATGCAGTTTTTATTGAAAGATTTTGTGAATTTTTTTCACTAATTCTGAAAAAAAAGCACGCAAAATTGTTAGGATACATCATGATTAGTATTCCTCGTCGAAAGAAGAAATAAAGCAATTTTGAAATTCCTACAAGTTGCAACTGAGGTACACATTTTCCGCAATTTGTCATCGGATGCTGAAAAAATCACCATTTTTATCTCTTTGAATTCTTAATAAATTAGTAACTTTCTACTGAAGTAAATCGATCCGAATCACGAATCACTTCAGAGGAAGAAACCAAAACCGTGTAAAACTTTACGCATGATTGAAAAATCTGAATCAACTTACCGATGCAATGTTTTCCATCAGGAGCAAGTTGGTAGCCCACCTTACAGGCGCATTCGTAGCCTCCGATCGTATTAATGCAGGTCTGCTCGCATTTGTGCGTTCGGCTCGCACATTCGTCCATCTCTGCACAGGGAACAAAATACAAAATTCTTCGCTAAACTCTGCAATAAAAAACATGCCACCATGCTAAGGAGGATATACTTTAAAATAAATTGTTTTTACAATATCAGAATGGAGGCTAGAGGAAAGTTTGTCCAATAAAATTTAATAAGAAAAATCTAAATCTAAATCTAGTGAAATTGCTAGTATACCATTTTACTCATCTACTAAATATTACTATAGCAAAAAAAATATTTGTAAATAAAAGTAAACTAATAAAATTGAAACTAAGATCATTAATCTTACTAACAACTTAAGACCAAGATATCAAAGATAGTTAGATATATTAATCCAACGATAAGTGCAAGACTAAACGGTCGAAAAATTTATCTTAGCATGGAAAGGACAGATAATTACACCTAAACTATCATGAAAAAGGATTGTTATGCGTATGTAATGCCTCAAATCTTGAATTTTGAATTTTGCATCATGGAAAATTGAAAGCCTCAACCGTCTTTGGTGTTCAATGGGACCTTGAGCTGTTTTTGTAACTCGTTGTTTCATAAGATTACGGTGCCTTATTAATATCGGCGTAAGGAAATGTTTTCTTGATTTTCCGCATAATTAAATGCAAAAATCAACAAAATTTTTGATAAAAATCTAATAGTCAGTTTAAAAAATGAATGGCAATTGAGCCCTTGAGAGCATCGATGGCGTTACTACGGCTTGGTACCTATAGATGGCATTTTGACTTCATTAATTTTGACTTTTATGGACTGACATCTATTTTAATATGAGCTATCATAAATTTTCGGTGCGAGGACGTGAATCTTGTTTGCGATGCTGCAGACTTCCTGTCATGATTTATATATTCTAAATGGAAAAATAGGTATTCAACGTCATTTCTTCAAAACTGCCCTGATTATTTCTTCGTGTGATGAGTATTTTGTGAAATTTTTTAAAAATTATAGTTTTGGTTTCATTCTTTTGTAATAAAATAAAATGGGAAGTCTCTGAGTGTACGCCAAGAATGGGAGAAATAATATCATTCGTGGCGATGCATAAAAAAGATTCGTACCTTTGACGTAAATAGCCGAGAAACCGGGCATCTCATTGGTGGAATCTGATCTGAATTTAACGTATAGGGATGAGCCGGACGAGACGATAGGCGGTGGCACATATTTTCCACAGAAAACTCCTTTCAAAGGTGCGTTCAGGTCGGAGCCGTCTCTTATTTCTAAATAATCATAAGTACAGTCCATCTCACTTTCAAGCTAACAACATATGTTAATACACACTATATTCAAATCAGATGTTGGCTCAATCAACCGATTGTTGAAAAACTTTACATAGCATCACTGCCGTGACATGTAAACATGCCGCATGAACATTTGAAGGGCTTGGAGGACAAGGCGCATGAGTGCGATTTTTGAAAAAATTAAGAATTTAATGACTCACGTAAAACTAGTCCTAACGCATATTCTGAGAGAAATCCGTTCCCAAATTCAAATTTTTAAGCATCAAAAAGTCAGTTTAAACTTTTTTTCCACCATGAGGATCCATGTAATTCCGAAACTTCAAACACATATTTCTTGAAATAGCAAACACTACATGTATGCGCCTTGTCCTCCAAGCCCCTCATTTAAGAGTTGCCAAATTACCTTCTACAAAATTCCTTCATTTCCTTAAAATTCCTTCATTTTTGAGGAGAGCTATGAATATTTTCTTGTGCAATTTTTATATAGTTTGATAAATAAAATATAGAAGAACAGAGAAATTAACAAAACTATTCGGATTAGTATAATTTTATAAAGATAGATATTGGTAAATTGTTTGTCAGACACACTCAAAAGAGCGTGTGATAGGATCCGTGACGTTAGGTGGGTTTAGATCGGGCAAGCAACTAGACTAACTCCGTGGCAAAGCGTAGAGTATCACCAAAAATGAAGGCGCTCCAAGCCAAGACCATGCAACTATCTGTGTGCTTTGGAAATTATTAAGTTTGATACGGAACTACCTTGATTTTTACAAAACACACATTATATTTTCCTTTAAAATATATTTTTTTTCATCAATTAAAATGAGAATTATCCATACAGAGTGTGCAAACATTTCAAAATCATGAGTTGGAAAACGCTGACTCCGCAAGATTAAATATTTGAGCCTAACACAAAGCGGAGCGGCGACGCACTGGCGCCTACAAACCTAACAGGGATACTTCACGCATTGCGCAAAGCGTGAAGTATCCCTGTTAGGTTTGTAGGCGCTTATGCGCGTTTCGCGCTCTCTGCCCGCCCGCCGCGCCGCAGCGTGCCATGGCGTTTGAAGCAACTATTTCACACCAGAGGTATTGCACAGTGTCATAAGAAATTGAAGACGCTCCAACATATTAAGAATGGCAGGCATCTTTCAAAAGTACGGAACATTCCTCGCAAAATAAATCAAGATACTACGGCACAAAGAGAGAGCGGTGGTCCAAAAACTATTTAAGTCCTAGTATCCGTATTTAGTAACGTTTAGCATAAACTTAATCGTCTGGCTGTTGCTTAGTCGCCATCGGCTATAAAGGGCTAAAAGAAATTGTACAGCTGGCTACAGAGGCTATTGGAAATCTTACAGCCGGCTGTAGGTCTATGGTATTTTGGAACACAGATTCTACTGCCAATTTTTACCAGGGAAGGGATCGATAGACAAGGTGTTTGCAACGAAAACCTTAATAATCGATTATTTACTATTGCTTCAAATGGGGAATTATCGATAATCGATCATTCATGCCTCGCCACTGGGCCCAACGCGATTTATCGAAACAACAATTGAATTGCTTGCGAATGCCGGAAGTTGAAAAATTCCGATGTATTTTACACCTCCCTCAAGAAAAATACGTGTAAAAACTTGTGAATATACGTGATAATTGACTGACAGTATGCAAAAAAGTAAAACTATGGAAAATATAATTTTTTTACGGTTGTACTACAACCTCGTTTCATTAGTTTCTGAAATTTCTAATTTTTTAGTACAGTCGTAAAATACATCGGAATTTGTTCATGGCCATTCCCATTTGTTACAAGTTTTTTTTTCACGAGCTTTGTCATTTTCCCCCTCCGGTATCTACAAGCCTGTATTACTTGAGAGTTTCAATAGCGAAGGTTGCAATGAGATCGTTTGAGTGTTGCAATTGGACGTATTTCTGCCAAACGGAACTATGTACATTAAGACATGAGCCCTAAGATCGATGAGAATTTATGCATAACAGGGCTCACGTCATAATGCACATGGTTCTGTTCGGCAGAAATACGTGCAATTCATGGCACGCTTTTGAAATAGCGTGTGCTTGATATTGCGAAAACGATAATGATCATTATTTTTTAATTTGAATCGGGTGGAAATTGTTTCTATCTTATAAAATGTAGGTTTGCTAATCGACTTTAAAGCATCGTCAATACTTTATATCTAAAAGTTTTATTTTTATTTAAATGCATGTTCTAATTACTTGGATGACAAGAAGTTACTTACATCAAAAAGTTGGAAGTATAAACCGACTTTGTAGCCTGGAGGTGCATCAATGATCCACTCGCATTGCTTGTTTTTGCCGTAGTGGTTTGGGAAATTGGGCGAGTCTAGGTGAGCTGGATCCCGAGCAAATAACGTGCCTCCGCAGACAGCTGTAAAAAGATAAAAATCACGTTCATGAATCCACGTTATCGTGTGTGATGATAATTTTCATTGAGGTTACATACATTGATCATATTCAGTAGGAAAGGATCAACGGTGTAACATATTTATTTTTGTTAATTTTTTTTTTAAAAGGAACATACCCAAGTAGCAGTGATCGCGATAAATAGCGTTTTTATCGATTGGCTAAAAATAAATCGGTGGCAATATATCAAGATATTATCGCATTAAAAATTGCGATATATGGCGATTAAATCGCTACACATCGCAATTTTTGGTCCGATAATATCGCGATAAATTGCTGAGCTATAAAATTGCGATTTTATCTCGATAAGATCGAGGATAATCGCTCAGATGTTGATGATCCTTGCGATTTTGTCGCCGATAAAATTGCAATTTATCCCGATTTTTCCGTTGAAAAATGCTTCTTGGGTAGGGGTTTAAGGCGTTACGCCATCTTCTTTTTACGGGTCGAAGGGTAGGAACATAGGTCACAAATGCGTTACAGGTGGGAGGGGGGGTCAAAAATGCCAAAACGGTCAAAATTTGCGTCATATAGGGACAGTACCATAAAAAGCCAAAAGAGCCAAACGTCGAGCTTTGAGAATACATGAATAATTTGATTTCTTCGACGGTTCCTCCTATTTTTGTTAAAAAAAAACCGACCAACAATCTACATGCAATCTCTGCCGCGGTAAGGAAAAACGCCGCATGAGCATTCGAATTTTGCCAAATTTTCTCTCAGAAAATGTTTATTTTTGAAGATATTTATGAATATTTTGTCTTGAATTCTCAGATTTTACAGATCAAATTACAAACGAAATCATCTAAGACATCGGAAGAGAAATATTCACAAATTTTCCTGAATATTCGAGATTTGTCGAAGGAAACTTGGGAACGCCTGATAACCCATGCAGCGTTCTTCTGTAGCACGGCAGATCTGAATCAAGATCTGTATAAGATCTGTATTCACATGAGGACGGTCGTTAAAATTAGGGAAGAAATGATAGATTTCTAAATTTTCATGGTGGATACGCCGTTCCTCCACAAAACCGCTCGTTACTGACATTTTTAGCAGCGTTATGACAGTCAAGTAGCATACTTGGACGGTGACGATATTAAATATCATAATATGTACCCTCAACCATGGTTTATGTTACTAGGAGGCACCGTAATATTATGATAAGTGTATAAAATTCTTAAATGGCCAAATTATATTCAAAATAATTATGATGTCCGTGGCACAAATTATTTTGAGCAAAAATGATGATGTTTACCTTCATACTTTGCTTCGAAACCCAAACGATTAACTTGGTTTTTTGTGGCGACGTATGTAATAAACATGCGACTACCCGTGCTGATAACGGTTCGAGGATTCTTACTTCTTCCACAAAATCTGCCTGCAACGCAATAATGAGATCCAAAGAATTTAGCATAGGAGTACAGAGTGCACATTATATATTATCTCAGAAAATTTTTTTCTCCAAAAAGGTGTATACTTTGGAAGAAATCGTAAAACTAAACTTTAGCCCCCTCATTGTTCTCTTACAAAATCTGCATCAACTGGAAAAGCATAAGTACAAGCAACAAGATAATTCATTGCTGGTACGCATTATTCGTCTGAACTCATTAATATCTATATTTGGTCACACTTAACTTAAGACATTTCGATGAGGAGACGCTGAGGATGCATGTTTAAACTTGCTTTTAATGGTGTGTTTAAATTTTTATTCTTAGAACGTTATCAAGTGATTTATTATAAGTTGTTAAAGTTCTTGTCATATAAGCTCCAATTCAACAGAGCTAATGCGTTAAAGCGCACTTCGCGCTGCACAAAAAAAATTGCGTCAACATTAAAAATCCACAATACTCCACGAGGAAAAAAGATACACACCCTGGAGCACAGTCTACAAACACTATACATGTTTCTTCTCTATTCTTTTAACGAAAGGCAAAATCCTTACCCAATAGATTTGACTTGTGCCAATAGCCATCCCGGATCTCCAGGTAATCAGTTTCACAGGAACTTGTGATAAAAATGTCAATCAAACTTATCGTGAGCACTATTTTATCACCCTGCGCTGTCGAAATCCTCCACTCGCATTTCTTTTTGTAATCGTCACTGGAACTCTCGTTGACAGGGGGTGCTGAAAATGACCCGGAGTCCGATTGAAATGTACCACCGCACTCTGGAGTATCGAAAAAAACGGACAACGTTAAAAACATAATCCGAAATTTGTAACATTAATTCAAAATGACAGGACCTTCATAAAACGTCAGGATTTCTGTGGGTCAAGTTAGAATCGGTTATACTTTCGGTTTTTAGACTTTGATTCTGGTTTCAAATCGAGCTCTAAGTACGAGCCGAGGATATCGGCTCTGATTTGCTCTGCTATAAAACGTCATTTCCGTAAGGAAAGAACGTAACTAAATTTCAATGCTGCCAAATTGCCCTGCACAAATTGGATTTCTACCAGGGGAATATTTACTTGGGCGTTTGTAACCAAAAATTCCTCAAATTTTTCTATTGATCTCTGGTAAAAATCAGAAAAATGTTGGTAAAAAATTCTCATAAAAGAATTAGATCGTTTGAGTCAATTTTGCACAGGTGGAATGAAGTTACAATTTTTCGTCCAGGAAACGTCAAAAAGACTCTATGGAAGGCTTATCGTGGCATATACGTAACGCTAAATTTCGTATTTTCCAACTCTTCCTTCCCCCTCGTAATGCATTTTATGGCGTAGGTCCCTGTCCTTTCTAAAGACAGGTAGGTCTTCGCGTTGAGGTCCGCAACAGCCGTAATTGCTGTAAAGATTGTGCACAAATATGGTTCTTAAACCCGTAACTCTCTTTTCGGTGTATCAGTATCATCGCACTTCTTTGCAATGATTATTTTCTTTATTTTTGTGACTCTAGAGATATGAGTTTGGCACTCACCGGGACATTTATACAATCGGTTGGTCTGCGCGATGTCTCCCTCGCTGAGTTCGATCCTTTGACCAAGCTCCTCGGCAGATACATCTTTTGTCTTGGGAACAATTGTGTCTAAATATTTAGTCTGCGCAGATAAAAACAGCATAGATAGAGTAAGAAAGTCTGAAATACACTGCTACTTTCATAAATTGCGAAAAAAATATGCGTTTTTTTCAGCTTCCCGCCTCAAAAACGATACTACGCCTTAAGTGAATATTTCGTGAGAGGAGTAGTTGTGCCCAACCCTTGCGCACCCCACCTTCAATTGCACCTGCAGCAATTATTGTTACGAGTGTGTTGTGCGTGTTGATTTTAGTTCATTACATACTTGACTCTCTGAAGGCGTTTTATGTGCGAAAGTAGCGCACACTGTTGGACAATAACAGAAGTAGAGATCGATCGATTACTTAATCCCTACTTCGTTCGTCCTCCAACAGAGTGCGTTACTCGCGCACATAAAACGCCTTCAGAGAGTCAAGTATGTAATGACCTGGAATCAGCACGCACAACATATTCGGAACAACATTTGCTGCAGACGCAATCGAAGGCAAATTAAAAACCGCTCAATAATTATCCCTGGGCAAAATTTTAGCGCATACTTATCACCCAAATTGTGAACGTATTCTAAATGCATATCAAAATTATTCGCAAATGTGCGGTTGAATCGGTATGGTGGCCCGCTGTGCGGTGAATGCATAGCCAGTGTGAAATGCGAGTGAGCTCTTTTCAGGTGAAATACATGTTCCTCGTGAGTGGGAACCTTGACTTGCGAAATCGACATAGATGAGTCAGATTTGGTTAAATAAACGTAAACTCCTGCACTTTTATTAATTTTGGGTAGTTTTTCTCAAAAATTAATAAAAAATACTGAAAAAAAATTCCTTTATGCTTGTAACATCGGGGCTTTTCGAAGAGCAATATTTTCGGACCACAAATTGTGTGGTCACTGGTTGAGGGAGTATGACTTTTACTGTCTCATTTAGTTTATGATGATGAAAGATATTATACTAATTATAGACAAAAAAATAACGAATTATGAGTATGGCGAGACTTGTAATCTGCCTCTGTTTATTGTTGACGTAAAATGTTTTACATTACAGCCATCAGATTTAAATCTTCGGTGTTTTTTTTTCTTCTCAGTTTTCGTTTCATTAAAATTCCTTTGATCGATACATGCAACTGATGACAAAGTTTTATTCAAAGAGTTTGTAAGCAAAATTCGTAATGGAAACACATAGAAAACGTGAAAGCAATGGTATTACCTACTTTTGAGAAAGTTTTGCTGGAATAATGCATTATTGATTTGTGATCGTAAGGAAGTCCAAGTGAACTCACCTCGGTTGGAGGCAGTTTCGCAAAATCGGGTTTCCGACCTGCAAAGCAATGATTGAATAATTAATACCTAAAAACTGCGCGAAATTACATGGGGCAATTTTTTTTTTAAAGTTTTGTAAAATATCTTATCCCCATTGACGTCTTTTAGATCATGTACTTACATCTATTAGCTGCATGTTTTTCAACCCATGGTCTGCATAGATTTTGGCCCTTTAGGCTCCTCAGTAGAGTCTCAGAGATAGGGACAAAGACGCACTCTCTTTGACAAATGGAAGTTACCATAAGCATAATCACAACAATTTTTCATTTGAAATGTTGATGGCTACAGTGAAAAATTAAGTATTTCCATCGTAACGTTTCAAGATCTCCAGGTATATTTTATTACTTTGAAAGAAAATCAAGAAAAATATCCCCTTAGAATTTTTTGTGATCATTTTTGCACCAGTGAAGCAAATTCACCAAAAATTTCAAGGAGCAAATGTATTCTTCTTCTTTATCTTCTTAAAAAAAAATACATGAATAAAAAATAAAAAATGGAAAATAACAAAACATAAGGAACGATTCTTAACGACATGATCGGAGCTACACATGTTTTAACTTAAGCCACCCGCACACAGTATTGACATTATTGAAAAAGCTGCAAAAGAATGAAGGTTAGAATATCGTTAGTAGTGGTAGCATTTTTGTCGCAGTTTGTCGCATTTTTGGTGCAATTACATGGGAGCATACGGTTAGAATTGTGTTTTTATCACCTGGCAGAATATTGTCCCAATGGATATCAACGTTTTCATCCCTGTCCGGCCTAGCGTGCTCATGCCAAAATCCGATAGTGTGTCCCAATTCGTGGACCACAATTCCAAATTTATCACAATTCTCGCCGATTGATATTTTCTGCGCACCTGTCCCTTTTCGTCCTATGTGGGAGCAACACCTGCAAAATACATTTTCACGAATAATTTCGAATCCTGATATTGTGACTAGATTTACGATACACTGAAAAAAATAATATGCTGTTTTAGCACCTAGGATGTCAAAAACGTGTCTGGTGATCCCAATATGCTGTCTTTACTGCCCTCGCAGTTAACTTTACATCCTATGAATGTAAATTCAACTGCGTGGGCAATCAAGGCAGCATCTTAGGATCATCAGACACATTTTTGACATCCTAGGTGCTAAAACAGCATAGCATTTTTTTCAGTGCAGATCAAAGGGTATATGCTCTATTTGGACTTCATTTTGCAATGAGAAAGTACGACTTCCAGCTCATTTTAGAAACAACGTATGTACCATTCGTTTCCATGTACAGATAAGTGTTTTTATAAATGAGCCAGATATTGTAGTTCCTAAATAAAAAATGAAGACCATTTACTTCCACGATACCATTCAGTACTGCCATTTTTACCAGTACTATGAAACTACCAAGTATCAAGTGGCACGTGTGTTCGATGATAATATTTAGAACCATAGTGTGTGTCCTTACTCGTGGTTTTTATCACGATAAAGTATCTTGAGTTTAGAGAGATGGCTCGGAAATTACGCCCTTTTCTTACTAAAGCAGATATTCAATTGTTAAATTAAGACGTTTAAAGAGCAAGTTTTGGTGAATTCCTAGGTAGTAAGATGCAAGCACCTTCAAGGAAGTATATTCTGTCCTAAGCAGCATAGTCCAAGGAAAAAAATGAAATAAATTGGGATCTATGACAATTTAATTGCAATCTTCCAACCGTAAAATGGTAATATTTTATATCATCGGTCAATAAATGTCGATCTGAAACAATCAAGAAAATGAGTTCCATGCAATGCGATGAAAATTTGCAATTTATTTCGATTTTATTGCCAAAAAAATTAAAGGTGTTCTTTTAATCATTAGATAGGAAAAATACAAACAATCTGATGCAGGTTTTACCACATCATTGCAATTAATTTCAATGTGTGCTACTTGGAGTCGAAAACAGATACGTCCTTCTTCAAATAACACATTCAAATTGCACTGGATTGGAGTGGGTACCTACCGCTGTTTTAGCACAGAAGGCAGTATGTGAAAGTTTACTGATGATAATTTTGACAAAATTTGGCAACATGCGAATGCTCTTACGGCGTTTTTCCCGTGGACAGGAGCATTGCTCGGTTACTCACCCGCATGGAAGGGCTGTGAATAGGATGTAGTCGGAATGGACAGGTGGATCCCTCTCGACGAAAACGAGGCAGGTGTTGGCCTCCCAATGGCGCATGGCTTGAATGAAAGTTGCAATCTGGGTCCCGGTGAACATTTTATCGAACACGTACGGAATCACTCCGTGTTTCCAGAGCTTCTCTTCTTGGGCGATGGCCGCACGACCCATCCTTTGCGTCGTAACGCTCGGCCCTGCAATCACAGTTGCATCAACGAAAATAGTACGAATTTTTGTAAAATTTGCCCGCTTCGAGACCCAACCCCCTACCCAAGTAGAACAGATTGTAATAAGTAGAAAATACATAGTAATAATATTTCAATTCCACTGAGTGTCGTGTATGTTGCCTAGCTCCTATTAGAAGGGGCCCCATTTATTGAAACTTACAGCAATAAAATTTAAATAAGTTGCGATTTTTCATAGTATTGCATATTGCCTATCTTTCTGACACATGGAGCTCATTTTGTTGATCGTTAAAAATCGGCCTAAATCGACTAAATTATGCGAAAATATTGCAATTTTACTGAAATCAAATTGCAATTTAATTTCAATATTTTCATTGCACTGTGCTACTTGGGTAAGTATCGACATTTCTGGGAAAAGCAATCAGCTCTTCAACGTGTGAGTGATTACTGCACTGAACCAATTACCATTTTTTCCTTTTCCTATAATCAAATTAAATTCTATTTGATTCAAAGAAATATACTTTATTGTAGAGACAATTTTTTTTTTAAAGAAATAGTTTGAATGGTGAAATATTTTTTTTTATGATTCAAATTAGACCTCTTTAATTCCGAAGAATGTAGTTTTGTCATCAACGATACATTTAATGTTATTTTAATTGAAAAAAAAAATAAAAAAAAAAATAAAAACTCTTTCAATAAAAAATAATTTTTTCACCAAGAAAACTGTTTCTTGGATTAAAAAATTGTCTCTACTCTAAAAAAATGTTTTTCTTCTTACCCGCTACACTATGAGTAAAAGTACTATCAGTCTAGTACTAAAGATAAAGATAAATGGTAACAATCCTCGAATAAAAGCAAGTTGAGTGACAGCAACGCTCAAAAGCAGTCGACCTTACCTGATAGGGAAAGAAGATTGACGAAAATAAAGATAATGAATCCAAAACTCATTTCGTCCCGGTTGGAGGTTTACGGAAGGTGAAAATACACTTTCACAATACACGGAAATACGCGAGTTCCAGAACTAAGAATCAGGTTAAAACCAACCAAAACGAACTCATTCTAGAGAAATCACACCAGATTAAAATTAAAACAGAAACTAAGCTTTTCCTTTGCTGAACTAACCACAGAAGATCACTGAGCCTTTTAAAATCCCGTTAAAATCTCCATGCACGGACGATTACGAACGCGTGGATGAAATGTCCACGCGGAGAATTGAAACATGGAAAACTATAACCACGATCGCCATCGAAAGAGGTCGAGGGATGCTGACGACACCGAAATGGCGCGACGATGTGGGGTTGAAACAATCGCGTCCCGACACCTTTCTCGGGAAGTCACCGGGAAGAAAAGGCAACTCAACGGTCGATGGCGTCTGCGAGAGACCGCTCTCAAATACTCTGCCTCTAGTTGGAGGCTGCAACACTTTCTACTGACACCAACCGAACGAAATCGAGGATGTGACGGGTATCTGCGGTTGTATCTGCGTACGAGTATTTTCGGCATTACTCACCTGTAAACTGATTGAGAGCTTGCATATCAATCATATCAGCAAGGACCTTATCAGGTGAGTCGCTGGAGCTTATCACTCGCGCCCGAGCAGGAGGCTGCGCGACGCACAGTGGATCGAGTCAATAGGAGAGGTCGGACAAAATTTGGAAACTTTAAACGCTTATAGCTCCGTTCATACAAAATTTTGAGGTTTTAAAAGTGGTTTCATTGGTTTCCTCGTAAAATTTCCTTTCAGAAGCACCCATTGAAATTCAAAATGTGACGAAATAAACATGAAAATGTGCAGTTTTAATCAAAAATTTAAAGTCCGACCTCTCCAATTGACTCGATTCACTGTGCGACGTGGAGTGAGGTATTCGGGTGACGTTGGTATGGGCCCAGTAGTTTGATCCCGTGTCCATTCAATAGATTGCGGCGGAATGGATGCAGTTCGAGCTGCGCGGAATTGACTTAACTGGGATTTTTCTATGTTTACGTCCTAGAGCATCGGCAATGCTGACGTTCTAAGGTTAAACACCGTATGAACCTTCAGGCGTTGCCAAATGTCCTACGATAAATTACGAATTTACTGGGAAAAGTTGTTAATAATTTTCTTCCAATTTTTTAGCAATTATGTTCGCAATATGTCTGCAAATATCAAGGAAAAATTTGCATAACTTTACTCTAAAAAATACATTTTATTTGGGGAAATTTGTAAACTCTTGAATGTTTGCACAGTTCTTCGTTAGCATGGCAAAAGAATCCACTTTGAAATGGGTCCATTTCGTTCATTTTTTCTGGAAGAAAGTCGTCCAAGAGCCAGCTCTGCCACCTTTGGCTAAGATTTAATATCTAGTTCGCAAAACTTTCCTTTTTTTTATGGTGGTTTTCTGCTTTGTAAAAATACTTTGGTTGCAGGGTCTGAACTTCGAATCATATTAAACATCAATTCTTTTTGGTTTTGGTACCCGCAAATATCAGTCATAGGGACCGGACTGAGGACGTCGTTCAGTCTGAGTGAAATTAAATTTAGGTTTGGCGTTAAAATTTTTAACTAAAAATCCTGACCTTTAACTTTGATTGCCCTCTCAGATATCTTAATGCTACTTCACTGCTAATGATATTTTCCTACTGATGGAACTATGATGGAACATTTCCTATGATGGAACATTTCCTATGATGGAACATTTTAGAACTGAAAAATTTAACTTCCGCAAAAATTCTAATAGGGCTTCAAAGTGCCAGTCAAATTCTAACCGGAGGTTAAAAGGTAACAAGAAGTAGTAATACTAGGTTTAAAAGTACCTAAAAAGCAGAGATGAAATCTTACCAAAAGGTGATAGAACAAATCTGAGGTAAAGAAACATAATTTGCCTCACACTATGATATCTTTCACAAAAGCTAGGCCCTAGATCAAAAAATTTTCCAGAAAAATTAATCTATGTGCGTTTTGCGTAAAACAATGCGTGAATAGTATGTGAATTTGATACTTATTTTTTCTGGCATTCCGTTCTTCAATGAGTAAAATATGAATGTGTGTAATGAATACGCATCACTAAACTATGAACGAATTCTGACTTGCGAATATGTTTTCTCAAAGATAGATGACGCGCAGAGCACGATGCGCACATTAAAAATGCGAAAAAGTAACTCAGAAACCAAGAAGTTTGCAATTCAAAAAGCGCAACTTTTCCGCAAAATTAAATCGCTTCGGTCTGTGGTGAAGATCGATCAACCTAAGAGATTTCAGCATTTTTAATTTTTTTACCAGCTTTCAATATACAGAGCGAGCCCGTCCCTCATTCTCTGGCAAGGAACTCAAGTACTCGCTACATTGTATCGAGCTGGGGGTCAAGATGATCGCAAAGGCGGTATACTGCCGTGCTGCGGAAGAACGCCGTATGAACATTCGAGAGTTGCCTCTCCTTCGATAAAATATTTATTTTCGAGGAAAGTCATGGATATTTTTCCTTGATATTTTTAGGAACTTCAGGTGAAATTGCGAACAAAATTATCTGAAACATTGGAAGGGAAATATTCATAAGTTTACCAGGAAATTAGCGTTTTATCGAAGGAAATTTGGCAACGCCTGAAAGCTCATACGGCGCTTTTCCTTAGCACGGCAGTATACTACATATCGACGGTGAAACTACCAAACCACGTATCTCGGTTTGCGACGTCGCAGACTTCCTGTCATACTTTATTTTTTAAATGAAAACTACTTAACATCCAGTCTTAAAAATTTCTGTGATTTTTCCTCTTTGTGCGGAGAAAATTCCGTGAAAATTTCAAGGAATGAGATTGATTTGGTCTACTTCAAAAAAATAAAATGTGAGCGTAGATTTTTAAACACCGCAAACGAGATACGTGGTTTGGTAGTTTCACCGTCGATATACGCGCCGAATACATGGTGTAAAGTTTACGTAATTTTGCATACAAATATGAAGATTGTATCGACGCACTCCTAATTCACTGGTCCATATGAATTTATAAACTTTGCAATCAGTGAAATGGTAATCAATTTTTTGGTTGGACACTATGGAGGCCCAAAATACGAGAGCTAATCAGAAGTGTATTCCTTATGACTTAACCCTCAGTATAGAGGGACTCCAGGAAGCGCCAATGAATGAAAAGCGAGGCTCCATCTATCGTGAAGATCGGCAAACGGGGAAAACTTTTCTGCGCTGGAAAGTTTCGTTCTTGGGCATCGACCGACAGGTGGCAGCTCTTGCACCCTTGAAAAGGTGGAGCGATAACCCATACATGAGCATGGAGATAGGCGAGAGCAAAGAGAAACTACTCATCAGAACTGAATTCGATTTTTTCAAACTTCAATCACGCATTCCCTCTTTTGTGATACTTTTTCTCAATACATTATTTATTCGCATATTGATTTTCTTTAATATTTTCTTCAATTCACAGTTTATTGCTCATCTTTCCGCACCCTTGACCATCTATTCTACACAGCCTTTCTTCGCGACGAAGAAGGAATGAGAGAGGAGGGAAAAATGACTGCAAATGAGGTGTTTATTGTGACTGGGACGCAGTTATTTCCGCAACTTTCCGCGGGAAACTCTTTTTTCCTCCTTGGCGCGGCATTGCCGTTTTTAGCAAGATTTTGAGCTGTATCTCGTTCCTATTTTCCGAAATGGAAGAGATTTTTTATTTGTTTTATCAGTCACAAATGATAGGGTTTTAACAAGTTTCATGAAACCACTATACTTTAAGATTGAAATTGCTTCATAATCTAATCCGAAAGTTAAGCCTCTTAGTTCCAAAGTGCCTCGTCAGAGTCAAAAATGCCATTTGAATAATTAAATTTAACGAGCTCTAAGTAAAAATAAAGTTTGTAGTTTTGATTTGGCGCATGATTTAAATTTTACAAGAGGTGGTAAAACCGGCCCCTTGGTATCTGAATTTAAGATACATGCGAACAGCGAGCCCCGTGGATGTACCGTATAAAGTATAAATAGAGATACTGTTTTCTTGAAAACACGGCGGATGAAGCAACTTTTACCACTGAAAAGCCGCTCACTTTGCCTAATCGAAATGTTGAAGGCGAACTGATGATAGAAAAAAACGAAACACTGTACAGGAGAAGAACGCTAACACTATAATGCGCAAATTCCATCAATAAAACGAAAGAACTTGGACGAATCGCTGCAAGCAACTGCTCCTATGTCACTCACATTGCTCATACTTCAAGATCTTCCGAGTAGACTGAAGAGAGAGAAATCATTGCAAATTTTCAAAACAGAGGTTTCAGCGGGAATTCAAGTTTTCAAAATTCTAAGCAGTTTCTGAAATAGCTATAGGCAAGGGACCTTACTAGCTCACGTGGGAGTCGTGGGTAAACATGGTCCGGCCATTAAAAGGAAAAGTCGCTAATCGAAGGAAACTGAACAAGAGCTTAATTTCTAAAAATTTTTAAAGTCGTAAGTTATTAGCAATCAATGTCAATTTTCAATCAGCTTTAGTAGCGCCTCAGTAAATAACAGATATGCGCATTTATGTAATGGATGTTTCATTAGTGAAGGACTTCAGAAACACGATTTTAGTCTGGAGCGCCGTCATTTTGACGCGATACTTTATACTTTGCTGAGAAGTTAGTTTAGTTGCCTATCCGCATCAAACTCAAATTAGAATACTGACCTCATTACAAGCAGACGTAAGTCCACCAGCTAGTATTACCATGCATTTAAGGGAGAAAAATTAAACCTCTATTTCAATTCAAGTCCAAATAAGTAGTATTCTTATCTTGTTTCGTTTTTTCTAGGGCTCATAACTTCTGAAAAAATCATCACTCAAAAAACAAGTATGGGAAGAGTGACTTGCCGGCCGAGTTATGGATCATGGAGCCATGAAATATAGTTCGTGGAGCCATGCTTATAGGTTCACGACCAATAAAGTATGGCTCAGAGAGCCATACTGTAGGCGGTAAGTCACTTTGGTTAGAAATTATGGATTTCCGAGCCATTTTTTATGGGTCTCAGAGTCATACCTTTTTTTAGTATGTGCCAGCAATCGCTACATACTCGAGAAATATCCCAAAACCTGTACCTAGTAATCAAGGTCATTTTTGGGGGCAAAAATTGTAAGTTTGAGCTATATTACCGCTGATTTTTGCGGCTGACAGGTGGAAACTGCATTGTAAGCGCTTTATAGGGGTCGAAAAAATAACCATTACGGTCGAATCGGAGGGTAGATTCACATCTTTCCCTCTTCTAATTAAGTCAACTACACATTTAGGGTATAAACAGAGATTGTTGAGAGAGTACGTACCTTTCAAAATATATCGCCCTCTCCCTTCCCCCTCTCATCCCTCTTTCTACTTCTCTCTCTTCATTCTCTTCTTTCGCTTATTCTGTTTCATATTTTTTATCTTAAGAGATGAAAAAAACAATAAATTCAGAGCGGGAGTTGGTGAAATTCACTGAGTGGGAAAGTTAGAGGATGCGATTCTATCCAAGCTAACTCGACTCATAATGACGTTTTTTGCTGCTTCTGACTTGATTGAAAAACTAAAC